TATTGCATTCCCTTGGCATGCACAGGATTAGACCTTAGGGCTCAGCACCCACAGCATCTCATGCAGAGGGATTTGCTTTGAGAAAAGCATCTGCTTTCCCCAGAGCCCCGAGCAGCAGGGATGGTCAGGGGCAAACAGGGGTTTCATCAGGCTCATTATTGATCCTGCTCAGCCCAGGAATGGGATTGTCCAAAATCCCTGCCTGATCAGGAATGGGATTGTCCAAAATCCCTGCCTGATCAGGAATGGGATTGTCCAAAATCCCTGCCTGATCAGGAGCTGATGGGCGCAAGGTGAGACAACTCACAGCCATCCCCAGTGCACGGAATGTTGGACAAAGTGGGAGAAAAGCTCCAGGAATTGTCTGTACCACAGCAAGAGATCAGGAGCCTGACTCTGTCTGAGATAATTCCCCAAAGTACCTTGCAGTAAGGGAAAAAGTGTTCAGGTTTCCGAGGAGGTGACATTTAAAACTCATTTTCTGGTGGAAATCTAACAAAATGAGCACCATGAGCAAGGGCCATGGTACAGGAATCAATGAGTCCAGCCTTTGGAAAGGCTCACAACCAGGACATCACATACAATTCTTGTAAAATGTAGGTAGCTCCCAGATTTTTGTTACAGAACTTCTGTTGTTCCCTTAAACCCTCCTGCAGTCTGTGACTCCATGAGAATGACCATGTGGAGTAAGATGTAGGAATAGAATAGATACTGAGGGTGGGAATATGAATGGCTTAAGAGAGAAAAAAACCCAGAAGTCAGCATTTCCTTGGGTCTGATGATTCCTGAATGCTGCACTGTTTGACTCCTAACCAGAGGTGAGGGAGAAGAAACCAAAGATCGCAGTGTGTCCTGTCAGCACCCTCCGTGTGGTGAATCCTGTGAGCTGATCTTGTCCCTGTGGGGCACTGATCCACCTGGGGAGACCCAGCACTGGACAGGGTGGCTCTCACCCCAGCCTTGGCAGGCACCACCATCCTTCCCTGAGCTGAAATGCTCCTCTGGAGCCTCCCTCTCCTTCCACAGGTGCCTCTCTGGTGACTTCTGTGGGCTCCAGATACGGAGATATTTGTGACTGGGTTGGAAGGGACCCTCAGGGATCGTGGAGCCCTGCACGGGACACCCCAACAATCCCCCCTGTGCCTGGTGGTTTCACCTTCATAGCTGGGGCAAGGAAAGGGTTGAGGCTGTTCAGTGATTTATCCCTGCCAGAGAGAGGAGGGTTCCTGGTGGATATTGAGGGCATGGAAGGAGTTAAAAATCCTCAGTTCACTTTGGCTGTGAGTGTCAGAGCTTTGGTAGAAGGGGAGGGAAGTGGTGAGAGAGGAGGGAAAGTGGCCAGCTGGAGAAGCAAAAATCCTCAGCTGAATGCTTTCCTTTTGATATATTAATACCTCCTTCAAGGGCTATTTGAGGAAAAACAGACTTAAGAAAATGAGCTGGGATTTAAATGGGCTCGATTGTCTTCAGAGAGATTTCAGTAATTCCTAAATGAGTGTTTTCAGTTGAACTCAGAGAGGCCACTAAGCTCTGAGCACAGGTCAGGCTGGAGACAGGCAGACAAGTGGGAGGCTGAGCAGAGGAGGAGGGGGAGGGAGGAGGGGAAGGGGCTCAGGGGGGCCTGGCCACAGCTGAAAGGCAGCAAAGGGACACCAAGTGGCTTCAGAGAGGGCCAGCTGAGTGTGGCATCATCCGCCTGACCCCTTCAGCAGCTCCAAGGGAAGGGGAAAACCCCAGTGAATCTTCAGTTTCTCAGACATGGAAAGAAGGGGTTATGCTTTCAGTTCTGACCCCATCCCTGCACAAGGGAGAGCTGAGGGCACCAAAACCCTCATGGCTGAGAGGAGGGAGCACCAGCAGAGGCAGGAGAGACAAGATCTGCCTCTCCTTAACCATGACAGAGAATGATGGTTCCTTATTTCTCTGTTTGCTTTTATAACCCTGATTTCCATTTGCAATGGGAAGCAGCACCTTTATTCATGGGGAAGTAAATTTGTCCTGTTTTCCCTGGGAGCCTTATCTGGGGACAGCGGTGACAGGGGACTCTGACAAGCCCTGGGGACACTGCAGAGCAGTAATTTATTGCTCTTTGTTGCAAAGCCATAAATCCACATTCAGTGGTGAATAAGCAGAGTCCCAGTCACCCCATGCAGCCCGTGCTGGTGCATTTTTGGAGCGTGGGGATGTTTTTCCCAAGGAGCAAAGGGCAGTTAAGGTGGACAGCAAGTGCCAGTGGAGGAGAGGACAGGGGCAGGGGCCGGTGGCTGCAGCAGGTGAGGACAGACACCTGGTGACACTGGTCACTGCTCCAACCCAATCACCGCACTAAAACCGAGAGCCTAAGGGGACATTTTGGCAAATCGTTTATTCAACAAAAATGCGGCATTAAAGCAAGCAGAGCTGTTTGTGGATTTTAGATGAATTTAATAAACCTGAGTCAGCAGAAGCTCGTGCCTAATGATTTCCCTTTCCATGGTGAGAGTCCCACACATCCTGTGCCTGGTTTGCCTGGTCCCATGGGTGGCTCAGGCTGCAGTGCCTCTCCAGTGGCAGGAGACAGCTGTGGTTAGATGAGCCAAAAACCCTGAAACCTTCTGCTTGGAACACCATAACCTCCAAAATTCTTTTTGGGTGAGTTGCCCACAAGGGAGCTGATGTTTTCCACTCTGCTGCTGCTTTCCACTTCCTTTCCCTCCCTCATTTCCTCGGGGCACCCAGCACATCCTGTCCTGCCACAGCCAGTCCCTGCAGAGCCTGAGCCTGAGGGTGGCAAAGGGCAGGGCCAGTGCCAGTGGGAGGTGGGGACTCCCTTGCCTTTGGTCAGGCTGGAGGGATCAGGAATATTTCCAGGCAGTTCCTGTGCTTTGGGAATGCCAGGAAGCCCCAGGTGTCCCCTCTGCCACCTTGGCTCCTTGCAGTGATGCCCTCTCCTGCCTGGGGCAGACGGAGCTGGCAGTGCCAGCACAGGCTGACCCTGGAGCAGGACCCGGGGCTGTAACGAGCACAGCTTCACTAACCAAGCTCTCCTGCACTAAAGGGACATTCAGGGACACCTTTGTCAGGGACGGGAGGGGAAACAGGGCTGGGAAAGGAGCAGCACAGTCCTTTTGTCAGCAATTAGTGCAGTACACGCTGAGGATTGTGTCCTGTACTGCCAGCAGTGAAAGGAGTGTGACCATTCCCTGCACACACCTTGTCCTGCAGCACCTGCAGGGTAGCAGGACCCTGGTACAGCCCTGGCCCTTGGGGAGGTGCCCTTTACTCACAGAAAGCACCAGCCATCCCCAGAGCTGCTCTGCCATCAGTCAGAGCGTGCCCTTTATTCCGCTGGAACCGACCCCGTGGACGTGTGAGCCAGCAGGTGAAAAGGGGGTGGGTTAGGGTGAGTCCTTGGGGCACAGGAGCGAAGGACAGGGGAAGAAAGTCCTGGGAAAGCAAAGGTTCCATGGTGCTGGGTGTGCAGGAGCACAGGGGGGAGCAGCAGCAGGCTGTGCACTACAGCTCCAGCACAATAACCGGGCTGGGGACCCGGTGTGCCCCTCTGCCGTGCTGTGAGTGCACACCCCGGGCAGGTCCTGTGCCTGCCCTGCTGCAGCCCCTGGGGCTGTGCCTCTGGGACAGCTCTGGAGCCCAGCTGGCCTGCCATGTGCCATGGAAAATCCTTCCCTGGCTGGTGGTTTGTGATTCACTCTAGGGGAGAGCAAAAGGAACAGGCTGCTGCTGTGCCACACTAGTTTTTATTCTGTATTCTGCTAAGATCTTCCGAAGGTGAGAGTTCTAAGGGGATACAGTGTTACCTCTGCCATGGTAGCAGTAGTGAAACAGCAAAGGCTGAGTGGGATCTTGACTAGGCAGGTAGCTAGTAAGTGAGCAGGAAGGGTCTCTAGCATATAGAAGTAGAGGTTAAATATGATTATAAACTAATGAGTTTAATACAGTTTTTCTTTTTTATCTAATCATGCCCTAATTCTAGTGGTCGTAAGATTTTGCACAACTAGAGTATTACTCAGAACTACATATGGGAATACTATAGCTAAAAAATGTGAACAGGTTAAGTTCACCTTTTGTCTGGGGCAGGGTAACCTTATGGAAATACCACTACTATGGTAGAATTGTGCCAAAGAACAAAGAGGCCTCTGCTCTCTGCTGCAGTTTTTTAGATACTCAAGGCACTTAGTATAAGTGTCTACTAAAAGCTAAAATCTATATTTCTATTCCACTTTGTGCCTTCATATATCTTGGTTTCTCTAGGGGTTTCAGTTCAGTCCCTGGGCCTGGATTTCTTTCTGGGCCTCTGCCCTGGGGGGTTTGCATTCCATCACCTGGGGCACTTGGTGTCTGCTGCAGGCACTTGGTGCCTGCACAGTCCTGTTTGCTGGGAGGACACTCCCAGCCAGGCACTCCTTCCTCAGCCCTGCTCCAGCTGGGCCCCCAGGCAGGTATAATAATTATATAATTCTATAATAATTATAATAATTAGCAGTGACTCCATGTATTACACAAGGCTGGTTAATGATAACCTTTATTAAGAGATTGCTCTTTTATAGACAGTTACAATACAGGTTGACCTAATTGGTCCTCTAGTCCAAACACCATCACCACTGGTTAATTAAGAAACCACCCTTTGGTAAACAAATCTCCATAACACATTCCACATGGTCACAACAGCAGGTGCAACAAGTGAAGATAAGAATTGTTTCTCATTCTTTTTTCTGATCTTCTCACAGCCTTTTCCAGGAAGATGCTTGGGAAAGTTGTGTTTCTCTCGATGGTGCCACAGGCTGCTCAGCACTCAGGCAGTGAGCACAGGGCACCAGCTGAGGATGAGTTTAAAGGTTAAACCAAGGGGCAGCCATCAGGGAGCACAGCAGGCTAGTCTGAACTCCCCGTGGATGGCACTGGCCCTCCCTGCTGCTGCAGGGGACGGAGTCAGGGCCAGCACGTGCTGCCCGTGAGTTTGTGGCGTGTGCTGTGACAGTGGCCCGTGTCTCCCTGCTCAGTACAAACAGGTGGAGCAGTACATGTCCTTCCACAAGCTGCCCGCCGACATGCGGCAGCGCATCCACGACTACTACGAGCACCGCTACCAGGGCAAGATGTTCGATGAGGAGAGCATCCTGGGCGAGCTGAGCGAGCCCCTGCGCGAGGTAAGAGGGGCAAGGCACTTCCCCAGCACCTCTGGCAGCTCTGCAGCTCCTGGGCCAGGGGCTCAGGAAGCTCCCACCTCTTGTATTTGGCTAAAACTTGGCATGGAGTGCTGGCCGCATCCTTGGGGGGGGGTCACAGGAAGACGGAGCCTTCAGAGAAGCCCCATTTCCATCCCAGCTAAATCCTAGCAATGCAGGTTGTCCCTGGGATGTCACCATTGTGTCACCCACCAGCTCCAGAAGGGCCTGCCTTCTGTCTTTGTCCCCCAGCAATGTCCCTCCATGGGAGAAAAAAGAGCTGAGCAAGTGCCAGCCTGGATTTCAAACTAGTTTTGCTGAAGTCTCAAAGGGCACCCCTCTGAAAACCCCTATGGGGGACACAGATGCTTCCCCAGCTCTCTCTCTTCCTGCTGGAGTTATCCCTGTTCCCATGGAGTGCTGTGCTGGTTGATGGGCTCAGCACCACATCCTGAGTGGGAGCACAGGGCACAGAGCAGCTCCTGAGCTGTCACCCTGCGAGTGACACGGAGCCCTGGGGGAGGCACAGCCCGGCTGTGCTGACAGCTGAGCTGGGCTTTCTTCAGCTGGGCTCGGTGATCCAGCCTCTGCCCAGTGCCTGGTGACACCTCTGCCTCCTCTCCTGACACTGTCCCCATCTGCCCGGGATCATTCTCCTCCTGGGCACATTTGTGCTGTTTAACAGCTCAGTGACAAGCAAGGGCTGCCACGGTGAGTTATGACACCTGCCCAGAGAGGAGCCCTGGGCTTTGTCAGACAGCATTTCACTGCTGCTGTGCTCCCTCACAGCCCAAGGTTTCCTGCAGAAACAGGAATGCTGTGTGTCTTTGGGAGGTTTGAGTGCTGTCCCTGCTCAAGGGAGGCAAAGGGGTGAAGGCAGTGAGCGTGGTGCTGGCTCCAGCACTGCTCTGAGCCTCCAGAGCCCATCCAGCCTGCACCAGGGCAGCCAGAACAAGGCACAGCCAGTTTATCCCACTGTAAATGCACAGGTCAGGTGGGGGATCTTCACAGGTCATTAGGTGTTGACTAACCATATGTGTGTCCTCTCCTCTTCCTCTCTCCTTTACACCACACCTCTCAGGAAATCATCAACTTCAACTGCCGCAAGCTGGTGGCCTCCATGCCCCTGTTTGCCAACGCAGACCCCAACTTTGTGACATCCATGCTGACCAAGCTGAAGTTTGAGGTGTTCCAGCCCGGGGACTACATCATCCGGGAGGGCACCATCGGCAAGAAGATGTACTTCATCCAGCACGGCGTGGTCAGCGTCCTCACCAAGGGCAACAAGGAGACCAAGCTGGCCGACGGCTCCTACTTCGGAGGTGTGTGCTGCTGCTGACCTCCACAGCCACAGCACTGCTGTGCTCAGCCCTTCCTGATCCACATGGCACTGAGCCCAGCACCTCCTCCTCCATCCCTGGGCAGCTTCCCACACAGGGCATGCTGCAGGGGGGTTGGATTAGGCCTTTTTCTGACCCAGAGATGGGGCAACTGAGGGGTGTGATTAAAACTTTTATTCCATTTTCAGTCTCATGAGAAAGGTGAGACAATGCAGATGTTATAATTCACTCCATCACAATCAGAAGCCAACTATTTCCTAATGACATTATAAGTGTTTCTTGGCCTATCAGCTTTTCTCACAACGTGCTGTAAGTGCCTTAAAGCCAATAATCTAAAATGCATCTTCCATAGTTCCATTTCTCCAAAGTATTCAGTCTTACTTGCAAGGCCATGCTTTGAAACTTGTTCCTGGTTCTATTTCTCTCTCAACTATGTCTGTCCTATCCCATGGCATTTCTAAGTCAGCATTTCTTATCTCAAAGTCTGGATGCAGATGCACACAGTGTGAACCTTCTGTCAGGCTTGGAGAATTCTCTACAAAGTCATTTCCTACACAGGGAGAGGTGACTGGTGGGCACTGCAGAACCTAGGTCATAAATAACAGCAAAACACAGCAGGGAAACTTGGTTCTTGCAGGTTCATTTCCTTCTGACAGATGGGTGAAGCTGAGAACCTGAAGGTAAAAAACAACCTGTTCTCAGTTTTCTGCAGGCACATTCCTACTCCTGCTGTCCAGCATCTACTGCTGGATAAACACAGAGGGAAAAACTGTCCCTCGTCTGCCCTGCCTGTGGCTCAGCAGAGTGTCCTGGGGGTCAGCAGGCAGGCAGAATGTGCGAGCAGCAGAGCTCCGGAGCAGTGGGACCAGCAGGAGGCTGAGAGGAGACAAAGCAAAATCTGCCTTGCCTTCCCTTCTGGGAGGCCTTTCCTCTAAAAAAAAATCCTGTAATGCATTTCCCACACTCCTGTTACTCCTGGTTCATGTGGAACAACCTGTCTGCACCTCACTTGGCTACAAGGATTGTGCAGCCTGGCATTTGGAGCTGGAGGGTTGGAGTCACGATACCCTGACTGCCAAACTTGCCCATGACATTCCTTCAGAACTCCTCGCACACGTGACACTGTCTCCTAAGCATCATTTCCTTGGGAAAGCAGCCTAGGAGCACACTGATAACCTTGTGGTGCTGCTGAACCAGGGCTTTGGGTAGGCTCAGCATCAATCCAAGGAATGGTGCAGGAGGATTGGCACCCAACACACTCTCAGGGAGCAGAGTGCTGTCACTCTGCAGCTCACACCATCTGTCCTGAAGTGCCTGTCTGTGCTGCCCACACTCTGTGTAAGCAGTGGAAAAGCAGGATTTGGGAGCTCTCTGTTGGGTGTTCAAGGAGCTGTGGTTGAATGCAGGGCTTTGTGTTCAGCAACCAGCTGAGCACTGAGGAGCGTGTGACAGCAATGTAAATACACCCAGAGCTGGGAGGTGATGTGCCCTGACAGTGCTCATGGCATAGACATGAAAATCTTTGAGAGCTGTGGAAAGACAAATGTTCCAGGTACAGGGATCAAAATTACAGCCAGGCACCAAAGGCACAGATCAGCACAGAGCCTCTCTACAAACCTAGAGACCATTGGCTTCAATGAGAGCAGAGCTTGACCTTCTGCTCCCAGTGCCCGCAAGGAGCTGGAGAAACACAACTCCTCCAGTGTGAGCACACAATGCTGCCTTTGATAATCCCCCAGAACAAACCCTGTCTGCCTGACTGGACCAGCAGAACCCCCGAGGGACAGCTGTGTGTGGCAGCTGGCCCTGGTACTCTGAAATGTTGGTGCACGCACAGAATGTGAACTGTGGCTGGGTTTTCTGTGGGAGGGCAGGCTGGGAGGGCACTGCAGGAGGGTTGCAGGGGTGCTGGTGGCAGTGTCCATGCCCTGTCTCAGCCTCTCTCTGCTTGCAGAGATCTGCCTGCTGACGCGCGGCCGGCGCACGGCCAGCGTGCGCGCCGACACCTACTGCCGCCTCTACTCCCTGTCCGTGGACAACTTCAACGAGGTTCTGGAGGAGTACCCCATGATGAGGAGAGCCTTCGAGACCGTGGCTCTGGACAGGCTGGACAGGATTGGTGAGTACAGGAGGGAGAGTCTCCTTCCTCACCCGCTGCCTTGGCAGCCCTCCTCCAGGCTTGGTGCTCAGTTCTGCGCTGGAGTTGGGAAGTGAAGGGGATCCCAGCCTGCCCCTCCTTGTCCAGCTTCAGCTCCCTTAAGGACTCCAGATTAAACCTACTGGGAGTAAGTTTAGGTTGGATGTTAAGGAGAAATCCTTCCCTGTGAGGGTGGGGAGGCCCTGGCACAGGGTGCCCAGAGGAGCTGGGGCTGTCCCTGGATCCCTGGCAGTGCCCAAGGCCGGGTTGGACACTGGGGCTTGGAGCAGCTGGGACAGTGGAAGGTGTCCCTGCCCATGGCAGGGGGCCTGGGCTAGATCACCTCTAAGGTCCATTCCAACCCAAACTATTCTGGGATTGTGTGATGGTCGCAGCTCACAGTGACCCATCCCAGGCTGCTCCCTGTCCTGTGGGAGACACAACCTGTGCTGCAGACATCCTTTTCCAGGTGCCTCTTCCCCAACTAAGCACTAGGATAACGTTCCTTGGTTTAACAGAGATAAAGTGACTCATGCAAGGTCATGCAGGAAGGCTGCAGAGCTGAGGAGCATTTTGGAGTCCCAGTCTAATCCTGCAGCTCCTTATCCATCCCCTCACAGTGCTTGCATTCCCACTGCTTTCCACATGGAAAGCTCAGTGGAGCTCTGGGCACAATGCAGAGGGCCAGGAGGGTGATGAGGTGAGGGGGTTGGGGCTAAGCTGGCACCCAGAAAGGGATGCAGTGCCTTTGGGGCTTCTCCTGCCAGGAACACTGGATTCTGTGCATCTCATTACCTGCTGCAAACCACCAAGTGGGACCCCTGAGGAAAAGGCTCTGAGCTGAAGACAAGCTTTGGCAAAGCCCAGGCTAATGAGGCCCTGGTAGAAGTGGCAGTAGGCCCAACACTTGGGTTATTTCAGTGAGTCTGTACAAATGACAGAGAAAATATAAAATCAATGCAGGGATGGGCCAGCTTGGCTTTATCTCAAGTTCTGCAGGTCTGGGTGCTCAGTGCTGCTCAGCTTTCCAGCCTGGTGCCCTCTGGGGCTGTGGGATCAGGTGGGCAGAACATCCTGTGCTCCCTGTCCTGTGCTCTGTGCCCCTGCACACGTAACTGAAATCCATGGAAAATTCTGACCCAGCACAAAGAACCTCACCTGCTTCTTCCCCTGGGAGAACTCCCCTTGCACAGACAGCTGCAAATGTCAGCATAAGGTCAGAAGGTGACACAGAGCGAGTGCAACAACAGGCCTTTGCTGCAGGGCTCTGCCACTGCCCCCCTTCCTTTCAGTGCAACTGAAAGTCCTGCTGTGCCCTGGTTCCCTGGCACTCGCCCTCCAGAGCTGCCTGCTCCCTTAGCTCTGCATCTCAACTGCTGTGAAATGGCTCCTCCATAGCCCTCAGTGGTGCCCAGCTCTCCTCAGCTGACATTGCCCCACAGGGCTCGGGGGAGCTCTGGCACCCTGCTGGAGCTGGCAGATCCCGTGGAATTCCTGACTTTGTAAATAAGGCATTTCTTCCTTCCTCTGGAATGTGCACCATCCAGAAGGAGCAGTGCAGTAGTTCTGTACCAGGCTGTGACTTTTGAAGGAATTCAAGGTTACTGCATTCTGCTGAGGCTCTCTGGAAGTGCAGGAATCATTCTGGAGGACTGAAGTTGAGGAGCAGCAGTTCTTGAAAAGCAGGGATGAACAGAAACAGGACCATTTTTGTTCCTGTCCCTTCCAGTTCAGGATCTGTGCACAAGGAGGAAGCAGATGGAAACCTCTTTCCAAGTCAGTGGTGCATTCACTGGCTCCCTTCTGCCCAGGTGACAATGTCCTTGGGAAGCCCAGTGAGTACAGGAGATGATTCAGAGGGCCCTGGCACTGTTCTGGTACCAGGAGAAGATCCATCCAATATTCCCCCTGTGCATCAAGGGAGCAGGGAGGAAAATCCCAGCCCAACCACTCCCACTGGGAGATGTTTATGGGATTTCTGGAACCTGTGGGGTTTGGAAAGTATGGTCTTGTAGGCACACAGTTTGTGGTAATTGGGAGTGGGGCTGCAGCCCAGCCTCATCCCCAATGGGTCCAGCACTGACAGCAATGAGCCATGGAGTGCCCAGGGGCACTGCCCAACCACCAAAGGGAATAGAGGCACACAGGGGCAGGGCATCAACATGAGGGGCATGGAAAGTTGGGCTGAAGAACAAGAGGAGCAGATGCTTGCAGCCTTCTGAAGTGACATGGTGTTGCTCTGTATGGGGTGAAGCTTTCTGGAATTGCGTGGTGATGCTCTGTGTACCATGGCTCTGTGGCCATCTCGACTGTGACACATGTGGGACATGGTCTCATCGTTGTGGGTAGCAGAACAAGCAGGCAGGGGCTCAGCCCATGCAGCAACAGGAATAGGATTGGTTGATTGAGGTGGGATGAGGCAGTCCCGCAGCAGGGCTGAGCAGTTTGGAAGCAGTGAGTGGGCAGAGGAGAGGAGCCAGAGCCCCCAGGCTGTGCTGCCATGGCTTCCTGCAGGAACATGGGCTGTGCATGGAGCTGTCAGGCACACAGACCCCTGGGCAAAGAGCTGAGGTGTAGCCTTGAACCTCTGCTCTTGCTGGGAATTGATCCTGGTGTCCTGCCTGGATTGGGCATTAAGGGATTCATCTCCATGACTTGACAGAGTCTGGGATGCTACAAAGATCTGTGGCCCTGCTTAACTCCCAGTAACTTCAGGCTCTGAGAGCTTCTTAACCTATAGAATGTCACACATGTGACACTCTACAGGCTCGGGGCTGGAAGGTGGACACTCAGAGAAATTGGGCTGATCACTAATTAATGATCATTTTCTCCCTGATGAAATCAGCCCCTCTTCCTTGCTCTTGGCAGGCTGTAATTTGTGTGCAGTGTTTGTGGTTGCAGGGATGCTGTGCCTTCTGCAGTGAGTAATTCTCTGTCTGCCACAGTTTGCTGTGCCCCGTTACGTAAATCACACCACTCTGTTCCTGCCTGCATCTGAAACTGCCTTTCAGTGACCACTGGAGCTTAAAATGAGATTTCCACAAGTATTTGCACTTGTAAAACACCACCACTTAAATGCTCAATGAGAGTTAAGCCCAGCACAAGTGGTGAATGCTGCCAAACCCAGGACATAGTGAACAGCAGGGATGGTGCTCTTCCACCGCTCCATGTGCTGTGTCCATCCCAAAATTCCTGCCACCAGCTCCTCCCCACCCACAGCAAGGGCACTGCTGAGAGCTCCTCCTAGGAGCCAGAGAAGTTCTTGTTTTCATTTTCCTCAGGAAGTTTTTGCCACGTGCTTTGAAATGCATGTACTTTGAATGCCACTTGTGTATGTTTTGATACAAGGATCCCAGTGAAGTCGGGATTAAAGATGCATTGAGTTTCCTCCAGGCATTGCAGGTGCCAAAAAAACAAAGAAAAGCCAAGACAACACAATTCCAGCCTCTAAATATAATTTATTATTTTATTGCAGTGTGAGAGGGTCTGTTCAGCATACTGCAGTGGTAGAAATGTTAAAAGCTTTGTCCATAAACAAGCCACAAAAATAGCTGTTCCCAGACTTTTGGCCTGCCAGCTCGTGACCAGAGTTGTGCAGCTGAGATGCTGTTGGGTTTGCAGCCCTACTTGTCTAGTCCTGAGTAATCCCCTGGGCTGTGCTGCCTCCAGGCAGGGCTGGCCTGGGCCAGGTGAGCCAGGGAGGAGAGCAGCTGGGAGCGGTGCCAAGCTCTGCCTCATTCCCTGCCTGTCCTTGTGCTGCCTTTGCTCCTGCTCAGCTCCTCACCCCTTCTGCAGGGACAGTGATGCTCACAGAGGGGGAGCTGGGATGTTTTGGGGCTGCTCCCTTTGGCACTTGTGAGGATTTGTGAAGGAATTTTCTATGAGTTAGAGACAGGACCTCTGAGTTGCTTTAGATGATGTGATTTATTTTTCTTATCTTCTACATAGGCAGAAAGGGTGAGTTCAGCTCACGTCTTCACTGTATGGCTCAGGTCACAGAACCTCTAGTTACAAAGTCTTTTAAGGATTTATTAACCAATAAAACACTGCCAACAAGGATATTTATGTTTTTGACCCAATCCTTAAATATTTCATCTTATTGGACTCATGCTACAGTGTAAGCTTTCTTAGCCAATCCTGTTGTGACACACAGACTTACAGGACTACACTCTAAAACTCTAAACTTTCCTCTACCTAGCTTAACATGTCTCTGCTTTAAACTATAAATCCACATTCTCACTTCTGTCACCTAAATTTGGAAGCCTTTTCCAAGGTCTCAGGTCAAATTATGTATTTAATTCTAAGCTTTGGCTTACAGGCCCAAAGTTCTGAGAGTTCCCAATCCATTTTGCATTCCAACAGACACTGAGTGCAGATAACTCCAGCAATGTGTGCTCAACACCAGCTTTCCACTTTAACCAAATGTAGTCTAGGTTTGTTCAATGGACAGGTGAGTAACCCCCACAGGTGAGAGGAGCAGGATGATCTGGCCATCAGGAGATAAATACAGCTAGAGATACAGAAACAGTTGTGAGCTGAGGCTGCTGGCCCAGTGGTGCAAGAAGTGCCTGTGGCCTGGGTGTGCAGTGGTAGAGGGTGTGTGCTGCAGCACAGAGCTTCCTTTCAAATTCCCAGCCCGTGGCACCTGCGAGGTTCTCCTATGTGGTGTCCTCTCTCATCACCTGAACAACCACCCAGGTAACTGTCAGTGAGGAATCAGAGTTCGGGTGCCACTTGTGCATTTCTCTGTCTCCCTTCAGCACCACAGCGTGGGGATCTGGGTGTGCTCAGCACAGAGCAAAAGGCACTCAGAGTGTGGTTTGTGTCTCCTGAGGTGGCTCAGGTGAATCACACCTGGAAGTGCTCCCTGGCACAGGTGGGAGCTTGGACTTCAGCAGGAACTGAGTATCTGAATTTCCTTTTCTTTCTCCAAGCCCAGCCTTGGAGACCTTTGTGTTTAGCCTGGGGAAAGGTCTCAGCAA